TATTTGTGGAAGATGCTGTATGTACAGCACAGGTGTAGGAACAAAATTGAAAGCAGATATTAATCATGTAATTTCCCATTCTTAAAGATAAGTATATAACCTTGCTTTGGCATTTCTTAATTTTTTTAATATCCCGGAAGCTTCAGCAAATGGAAGAGACCAAGTCCCTTTAAACTTCTGAGAGGCCCTGGGATCACACTAAATAATTTCCCTAGCTGCTCCAAATGCTGTTGAATAGTTTTTAGTCAATAGTATGATGAGCGAGTCAGGAATCATGTAAGACAGGTTTAATACAATAAGGGTGCAGGATGGGCTGGCAGCAGATCACGGTCCTAACCTCTCACACAATGAATGCTGTTGCTATTGGTTCATCGTCCACGTGAAGGTGGCAAGATGTTGAAGAGGAAGGAGTAGAGTAGAGAGATGGGAGGAACGGTCAACATTTTCCAAGTCCAAGTTTTCTAATGGGCTGGTGGGGAGCCGGAAAGACAGGTACTGTAGGTGTTGACCTCATGGTCACTAAAAAGTCACAACGGCTCTGTTTCTGGCCAAACAAAAACTCGCTCTGGGTCTGGATTTGCCACTGTTCACAACACAGATGAATGGTGGGAACATGATGCAGCCAGGGTGTCAAGGAGATGAGGGCGCACCATCTGAACAAGGGAGGGGTTGACAAGGGAGAGGAGAGTGAGCAAAACCAACCTGGGACAAGACAAACTCAGGCTCCGTCCAATTTGCCTGGAAGTCCTCTGAGTTGACTTTGGGTCACTGGACTGAAGCAGGCTCACCCCGTCACATAGTTCATTATTTAACCCAATAATTAATTGCGATTCATGGAACAGTGACATCAGAATTATTTACAATTATGCAAAGTGACATGAAAAGGCTGGCTTTAAGTGCAGTGGCCTTTGACCTCAACTGATACACAAAAATCACCGGTGTCCCTGTTCAAGGCTCAGGGTGCTCCTACCTGCCTGCAAGTGGGACTAGTAGAAGGTCAGAGTTTGGGGAGGGAACAACAAGGACTCATTTGGGGCTTTTGGAATGTGTTCTCTCATTAACTAGGTCACATCTACGTGTTTGGAGGACACGTGTATGTCTGGGATGGAGGAGGGATGCCACTGTCCTCACCCCAAAACTGGGGAAGCTGATGCTATTCTGCCCTCCCGTTTTGAGCTGGCTTTACAAGAAACTTGTACAGTTAGATTTCATTCCTAAAATGTAAATAACCCCGGGAAAGTTAAGAGACTCAGCAATGCACAGGTTAGTGTGAAATGGCTTAACCTCACTGCGTGTCTTCTGATACCTCTTGATCGCTGAAAATGCAGATGCTTTCAAGGGGCTGGGGAAGGAGGGTAGAAGGACATGGAAATAGATTATTTATTTATTTAGGGCCTACCCCGGGAGAAGACCCTGGGTGAGACGTGGATTGGGGGTGAAGCAGGAACAGGTTTGAATATAAGAGTCATTAGAAAGAAAAAGAAGTGCTTTGCAAGGAAGATAGGAGGGGCCTAAAAAAGGTGGGTCTTTTGTTGCTGTTGTTGTTTTTTCCCTCTTTGAATGTATGTCTGGGTTGGGTGTGTAGGTTGAACTATCTGAAAACCAGACTCCACACACTGGATGAGTGAAGCAGGGCTGAGGCCAGGGAATGAACCAGAAACGCTTTTAAGCCCCTTCCTTTCCTATGAGGCTACTCTATCCTTCGCCCAAGAGGCCTTAATGCATAATTGTAGCTTTTCTGCGGGGGGGGGGGGGAACAGAAGGGCAGCTGCTGTTAATTTCATGACATCCAATTTGGGTGGTATTCATTGAGCCTTCTGTGTAAGGCACCTTCCTGACAATGTCCCAGTTCCACACAGCACTCGCCCCTACCACCCCTCCCGCCCTTAGAAAAATCTGACCATAGAGCTCCTCCTAGTCTGGGGTGGAAGCCTCCTTCGGTTCATCGGAAGGGGCCAGGCCGGGAAGCCTCAGCCAAAGCCAGTTGCCCTGAAGTCTAGTTTCCTCTCCATGTGACTTTGATGCTGCACTGTGCCGGTTGCTATAGAACTGCTAGAGATACATGTAAGAGCACATTAGAGGATTTAGAGCATTGTTTCAGAATGAGGGAAGAAGAAAAAAAAGACGAAGAAAGACCTTCCTGCTGTCTTTATGATTTTTACTTTTATTTTCCTGTTTTTCTGAGAGCCGGGAAAGGGAAGTGCTCTCTTCTGTACATCAAGGAACTCAGGCCATATGAATAAAATGAGGCAAAAGAACACTTAAAAAAGAAGAAAGGCTATTGCCCCCACTGCATCAGCTGCACTAGGGGAAGGAAGTGAAACAGGCTGGGTTTCCAGAGCATCCGTGGGAGAGGAGACAAAATCTCCCTCCTCGCCTCCGAAAATGGTGCCTTTCCTGAACTGCTTTTTCAAGTTTCCCCTCCGAAAATGTGAAATGACGCGATCTGAGCCTTTAGTTGGAATTGACGGCCTTGTGTGTGGCGGTGGCTTTCAGCGGGGCCATGGCCAGGCTCCTGGGGAGGTGAAGGGGAGAGTGGGGAGGGGAGAACTCTCTGAGGCTGGGGCGCCATGGTTTCTTCTGCTTGACAAATGCTCGTCCAAACATGGCTCCAGAAAATGAAAGCCCAGAGGGGGTGCAGAGAGAGCGAAAACACTTAAATTTTCTTTTTTTTTTTTAAGTGGGAATTATTCACTTCCACTGCAAAGAAGAAATTGTCCTGAAAAGAAGAAAAAAGCCTGAAAGTACCCCCCAACCCCCCAACTGGGCTAAGTGCTGGGACAAACAAACAAAATGACTGGTGTGATCAGTAAATCATCTTCGGGTGGGGGAAGGGTTTGAATAGAGGCGCAGGAAGAAAGCAGAAGCCAGGCCGCGTTAGCCGATTCCAGCAGAGGCAGTAAGCAGCAAGGGGCCTGGGCTATGGGATCCATAATTGGCTAACGAATAATAAAGCCCAAAATTGGATATTAACAGCAATTAGTTTCTGTAGAGGCACTGGAGAAAAGAGCTGCAGAAAACCCCATTGGGCCTTAAGCTGGAGCAATCTGAAATTAAACCAGTGTCTCAATTAAATGGGAATAAATATTGCTCCATCAGTCTGTGTACGTGTGGGAGAGGGTTGCAGGGGACCCCCTGTGAAGTCCAGGTGCACCTTCCTGTGTCAGAAGCTTTCCGTGGTACGACCTTGGTGAGGGACGTTCTGGTCCTGACCTCGGACCTCTAAAGGCCAACTGGCCCCCCTTCCTGGGGTGTATGACCTTGAGCCCGCCCTCGGAAGGTTATTTCAGGGCACTGGCCAGTTAAGCCACAGGAGACTTACATCACTAACTCTGCACCCCGGTGGGCCCTGCAGATGAGGAGAAGGATGGAGTTTAACGCTTTTTAAAAACAGAGGCCGTGTACCGTCCACCGCATCTCCTTGCCCTGGGACAGGGCCTGGGGTTTGGAGGTCCGCGGAGAGAGCGTGTCTGCTCCTTTCTTCCAAACCAGCGTTGGAGCGGCGCCATCCCACTGGCGTAGGATCCGAAGGAGATGTGTGTCATTTCCTTCAGGGTAGGGGAATTTGCTGTTTTGGCTTCTTTAGAGAGTGTGGTGGGGGTGGGGAAAGACCTGGCGTTGCGGGCGGTGGATCGCTGGGTCCTAGGGACAGAGGCCAGGCGCCCTGGCCCTGTCGCCGAGGCTCTGGCGGAACGAAGAGGTTGTGTGGCATAAAGGGGAGTGAGGGAGGATACGCCGAGGCGAAAAATCCTCCTACCTCCCCACAGCACCCCAAAAGTGCTTTCAGTCTTGCGCTCTGCTGGTGGGGAGCCAAGGGAGTGGCTAAGAAGTGACATTTTGGTCGGTCCCTATCCTTTTCCTACCTCCTTCGTGGGCCGCGCTCACCCACCGGTTTTCTCGCACATTCTGAGGCTTTTTGGGGGTGCAGGAATCTCATCCTGGAGACCAGTTGTGGACTAGAGACAGGCCCGGAGGGGAAGAGGGCGGAGGGTCAGCCGGGGCCGGCGCCTGGCCCTCCCTCGCAGAAGCCAGGCCGGCTGTGCAGCAGGGAGGGCGTGGGGACTAGGCCGAGGCCTGCGGCGGGAAAGCGCTGGGGCCTTGCAGGGAGGACGTTTCATTCTAATGAGGCCTTTGGCTGGGCGTGACCCATTCTTCTAGGCTGAAGATGCACCCCATCCCTGACCCGACCCCCATTCCTGCTCCCAATTTCCGGTTGCCTCTAACGGTGCCCATCAGATGCCCGTCTGGTGCTAGAGTGAAAGTGGGGAACCAAGGTGCGGGGAAAAGGAGAAAAGGTGGACTCTCCGGGCGCTGTCCGTCACTGGTGGCTCCGTGCCGAGGGCACTCTCGGATCAGTCGGAAGCTTTGGGAAGTGCAGGTGACCCAGGTCTTTGGGGCCCCATGTTTCTTTATTTCCGCAAGAGGAAAAAAAAAAAAATCAAAGCCAGAAAACAGGAGCTAAAAAGAAAAGGGAAGCCAGAGCCTGTTCATCTTCACTTTGCTCAATTTAGCTGTCTCAGGGCATTAGGACTAAAAGGTGGGGTGCGGGGAATCCTGGGGGCAGGACCGCGGTCCTGGCGGGGTGGCCAGACCCAGCCCGTCGGACCCAAACACTCAGATCTGCACCGTGAACCGCTTTCAAAACATTACAAGGAGTAGCACAATTGAACTTCCGGCGAAAATAGTGCATCCTCTGACCCAGGTCCTCACTTTGTTGGGCAACATTTCCGTTTTAAGACAAAAGGGAGAAGGATAAGAAAATCAAAAGGTGGACGCATTGAGAATTGCTGACACTTCTTTCTGACCTGGAACATTCCTTGCTCTCAATAAGGCCTTTTTTTTTTTTTCCAGGCCATCTAAATTTGGTGTGGATCTCCCCAGGCCTCCTGCAGACCTGCATTCCGTGGCACAGAACAGCACACAATGACTCCAAGAAATCCCACTTGAAGTCCTTTCTCTTGTTCTATGTCTATACTGGAGATGCAATTAAGTATTAAATCTATACATTTTAAAGCTGATGTCAAATTGAGTAAGACCTGGCTTAAAAACACTCAAACGAAAGAATGGTAGATGGATTTGGAAGGAAAAAAAACTTTATTAGGTACCATAATTCTTATAATTGTTATTACTGACACATGCATCACCATGAATCAGCCAGCCAAGCCTCAAACACACAAACTCCAGCACAACCTTCAGCTCCTGTTGACTCACGGGGCTCTAAAGCCACCCACAGAGTAGAGGAGGAAGGGAGGCTCCATCTGTCCCAGGGAGAACGCTTTGCAGCAGCCCCCAGAGAACTCCATTCTCAGGTTAGAACAAGGGGTGGGGATGTTATGTAAGTTCAGCAGAGGGAAATAGAAAAATTATTCCCCTGTGGAGACAGTATAGATGGATGGATTTGTGTGTGCGTGCGTGTGTGTGTGTGTGTGTGGTTAAATGCTTTTCCATAAATACTAGCAATGGATGTGGTTATGTAAACAGATATGGTTGTGTAACTATGTATGCACTTTTTCCTGCTGAGAAATTACCCCTTCCCCAAATATTTTTCTGGCTAAGCTTCCTCATGCGTCCGCAGTCACTGACCCCCACTTCCACCCCTTTGGTGACAGAGGGATAGAGGAGTTTACCTTTGCCTTTGCTCAATTTCCTTTCTGCTTAAACAGAGATCTGGGCCTGGGCTGTCTCTGGCAGGGGAAAGAAGAATGTTACCATTTTTCTTAATGTCGATACATCACTAAATCCATCTTAAAGTATCTGGTGTATTCACCTAGAGAAACATGAGCTCCCATCCTCATGAGGACCAAATGATGGTAGTGGGCGTGAGCCAATAGGGGCTTTCTTAGCATATTCTCAGCAAACTGTCTCAGACATCTTCTACATTTAAAAAATCATATGTCCCCCCTTCATCTAAATGGTAGGATGTAATCAGAGGGACTCAAATAGATAGTCAGGGAAAAGGATGATGTTGAGAGTTAAACACATGCCTTGAAATAGCAGAAATCTTCAAGTCTCTTACCTAAATATCGCTGGGCATCAATAGGCCCCAGGTGTAGGGGAAGGGAAGAAGCCAGGACTGACCTTCACTCCAATACCTCTATTTGGCGAACACAAAAGGGGCCTTGAAATTACACAGGGGGCAGAGTGGTACATTCATCTCTGCCATTTTCAGCCATTAAAGCCCCACATAAAAACGCATTGTGTAATGAGACCTGGTGAACACAGGACGATCCCCACACACATTAAAGCTTTCAGAAACTAGAGTGTACGTAAGCCATAAAAAAGCACGCCCCTCCCATTGTGGATTATGGGCAGCAGGAACCTGGCAGATCTTGACCATGGTGCCTGCGGTTTAAGCTCTCAGGGAGAAGTGTGTTAGGCTTCCATCTACAAGGGGCATTGCGTGGGCAGGCACATCAGCAAAGGGTGTAGCTGTGTCTGATGGAATTACCCAGGGAAGCAATTATGGAGACAAGGCTCACTAATGGGGACAACTGAAGGGCAAGGGGTTGGTCATCAGGGGCTTAAACCATCCCTGGCAGAAACATAAGAGCAGCCTCTCAGTGAGGAGGGAGGGGGAGAGGCTAGGGGATTTGCACCCCAAGGAGCCACCATTCGGAAGGAGGTCTATTTTGAAGGCAGTGACTACCAGTGCCCCTTAGGACAACCCTGGCTAAGGCTCAAAGGGCCAGCGAAGCTGCTCCCACTTTCTGTCCTCCAGCTAAGCTCACCTTCTGGGGCTAGGGGAATGGCACTGCCCCTAACAGTTTGTACGATGGGAACTGCAGCCTACCCTGCAGGGGTGAGAAGTTGCAGCGCATTTCTGCAGACCCAGAGAAGGTTCTGGAAATGTCTAGATGGGGTACAGCACACTTCACCTCACCTGACTCCAGAGGCCCCCTTAGGAGGGCAAAGAAAGAACATAAGACATAATCATTATACAATGCTTGTCACACAGTAGGCACTCAATAAATATTTGGGAGAAAATGAGACCAGAGTATCCTTGAATACTAATCTATCTAGTGGGCTAGACTGAGGCTTTGGAGAGGAAAGAGTTCCTCAGTAAGCTACAGCTGAGACTCTTTTAGGCCTTGATTACTGTGCAAGGAAACAAACTAAAATCCTAAGCATCCTTATGGTCTTGGCCTTGCAAAAGCAGGCCTCTGCTAAGGGTGGGAAAAGGGATGCAGCAGGCTTCCTGGGTAGGAAGGTCCAGCTCTTGGCCTCCTTTCTCTGTAGGGACCTGCCGCGCCTCCATTTTCTCCACCAGAAAATTAAAGAGTTTAGGTCTTGCCACCATCCATTGCAGTATGGAGGTTCGTACTGAGCAGGAGATGGGATCTGTCATTGTGCCCTGTGAAGGGGGTCTCCAGGACCAGCTGCTGCTCTAGATCTAGTGATGGGAAGACCCCATTTGGGAAGCAGCGTCTTCGGGATGGGGGAGGGTTGGTCCTTTGCATTCCCTGATGCTTTCTTTCAAAACATTCTTTCCTCAAACCCTCACTTGCACACATTCTGTTTTTCCTTCTGTCAGGATTTTTAAAGGAATGCACCACCCCCTTGGGTACATATAGGTTACCGAGCCTCTCCCTTCCTCTGCATCTCTTGGATCTCTGCCTAAAACTGCAATTACAGCCGCAAGGAGGAAGTGAGATGCTCCCAAGAGCCCTGGCCACGCTTTCAGTCCTGATGGAGCCTGTGAACCAGCCAGGAATTTGTTCCTTCTTCCCCGTACATCCCAAAGACTTCTTCAAGCTTGTCAGGTGCCCACAGCTCTACAGCAAAGGATGACAAACATCCTCCTCCTCCCTTCCAACTGGCTCCCTCCCTCCCCCCAAACCTCACGCAGAACACAATATACCCGCAGTCCAAGCCCTGGCACAGCCCGCCAGTCTTCTGGATGCCAGATTATTTTTTTAAAGAGCAAACCAAAAGCTAAGCCCAGAACAAAAACAGCCAAGGAGAAAGGTGTCCACCCGCGTACAATGCACCCCAAGCCTAGAGAAAAATATTCACAGAGAAGCGCTCCGCAATGCGCTCACCAGCATCCCCTCCTCCCCCCGCTTCGGTGCTTGCACGGATCCGCAGTTCTGTTACAGAATCAGCTTCGGTTTCGCATTTCTAAGCCCCCGTCTGTCACAAACCACACACCTCCCCACGCCAAGGGCTTCCACCCCCGGGAGCTCGCGACCCCTCCAGCCCCAAGCCGCAGCGCTGAGCTCTGCAGAGGGCGCCTTGGCTCTGTGGCTCCTTCCTTGGCGGGACCTCGCGGACCGACGGTGCTCAGCCAGCCCCATTCTTGGCATTCACCGCGTGCCTTAATTGTATGGACATTTAAATCAAGGTCCGCTGTGAACACGGAGAGAGAGGCCTTTCTCCTGAGGAAGGCAAGGAGGAAGGAAGGAAAGGCGGAAGAAAGAAAGGGGACTGGAGAGAAGATGGAATGAGAAAACAGGGAAAAATAAGTAAAAAACGGCGCGAGTGCGTGCGCACTGACAGCGGGGAAAGGGCTGGGGGTGGGGGAGTGCAGGGAGGAAAGGACCACAGCATCCTCCCTGCCGCAGCTCCCCAATCGCACAGACAATGAGATAACAGCGCCGTCTTCCAAAGGCTCTTTGTTCTCCCCCATCCTTTCGGGTCCAGGCTTTTTCCTGCAAAGCGGAGGGGGTGGAGGGTGTGGGTGGAAGTGGGAGACGAAGGGGTGCCTCCCCCGTGTTAATTACCCGGACTCCCCTCGCCCCATCCCTGCGCCTCGCCTCCCCTGCAGCTCCAGACAATGAAAAAAACAACATCAACCCCACCTCGCCCCAGCTCTGCAAACCTTACCCAGCCCTCAGCTGTGCCCAGGAAACTGAGGGGGGCTAGGAGGGGCAAGAACAGAGCAGGGGACCAAGAGGGCAGCAGGGGCTCGACAGCAGCTGCCCGGCCCGAGCAACCCCCGCCGCCTTTACCTAGTCGGCCGAGCCCAGGCGCAGCCCGGCCGGGCGTGCCGCAGGGCGAGCTGCGGCAGTCGGCGGCCGGGATCTGGGGAATCAGCCTTCCGGAACTCGCCTGCTGCAGTCCGCTCTCTCAGGTCCCAAGTGGTGGAGGGAAGAAAGGAAAATAAGAAAAAAGAAAGAAAGGAAAAAGAAAAGAAAAGAAAAAACCCCATAAGAGCGAGGCCCATCTGGCCCCTCATCAGCTTTGTCAAGTCTTGCATACGCTAAAATGCTAATGACCTAGATAGCTCATGCAAAATGCAGCAGGGAGGAGGGAGGGAGGGAGGTGGGAGGGAGGAAGAGAAAGAGTGGGGGGGGGGAGCACGGGAGGAGGAGACGGAGTGGGGGGAGAGAGAGAGCGGGGAGAGAATATACGTCTTCGAAACACCCCTACCACTCTCCCCACCCCACCCCAAACTGTCAACCGGCTTTACCAGGTAAGTGGTGGGCGTAGATTTGAAAGGTCATTCGTGTCTAACGCGGCTGTCTCCCTGGGTCCAAAAAGGGAGAGGGCCGGAGGATGCGAGTCCCCAACGCCAAAGGGATAATAAGACATTATTTGAAGCCCCCTCCCTCCGTGCCTCCTCCACCTCTCCACTCTGTTTACACACAAATCCGAACGCCTCCCGTGTGGGCACAGGGACACAGCACATTTTATCAGTTTCTCGGCACTCCTGTGACAGTCTCCTGTTTTCTCGTCCCCAGCAAAACTCATCCTGTGAACTCGAGGAGGGGTTAAACACCCTCTTTCTCTTCACAGTCTTCTCGAGCTGGCCCGTCCCCTCTCGCTTCTCCCGCTCCCCACTATTCACTGAGCCGCCCAGAGAACATCTCCCGCTTCTACTTTTTTCTAAGCCGTCTGGTCCGCAGCCTGCTCTCCAACACCCAGATCTCAAGAAGGTGAGGCAGGGGAGCAGGAAAGCCAAGTTAAGTGTATCTGACCCCCCCACAATTCAGCACCCTTTCCCAGGAAAACAAACCCCGCTCCTCCCCAACACCGACGATGCTCAAGCATACCGAAAGGATACCATAAAATTCGGTCCGAATGCCCTCAGAGGCGCGCTGGGCGGGCGCCCTTCGGAGCCGGCGATCGCCCGGATTCCCGAGCCAGCGCTCCGGCGCACCGCGCTCGCCGAGCCCGGAGGGCTTTGTCCGGGCGTCCACTCAAAGTCTTTCCCGTTTTTGTTCTTCTTTTTAGCAGACTGGTTGCGGTCCGCAGCGTTTCAGCCAGGGTTACGAAAGGCAGTAGATCTCCTGGAATAAAAGGGACCGAGATAACATACATACAGATGGAAGGAGGAGAGCCGCGGAGAGGCAGCGGAAGCCCCATCTAGGGAGCGGCCGCCGCGGCCGGGCCCCAACTGCTTCCTCCGCTGGGGAAGGGGCGGGCGGCGAGAAGGCGCTCGTAGTCGCTCCACCTGGCAGGAGGAGATGATGGCCATGACAAGGAGCCTCGTGACGACGGTCGTGAGCACTGTAAAAAATTCTGAATCCCCCTCGGGTGACCAGAGCTTGCGGGCAGGAGGGACTGTACTGCTGGCGGCGGCAGCCGGGGGGAAGGAGAGGAGCGCCGGAGCAAAGGTTGTGGCGGCTGCACCCTCAGATGAATAATAATAACGCACAGCGCAAGTTGCGGTGCCGCCTGGAAATCCAGCCCTCCGCGTGAACTCGCGTCGAGTGTGGATTGCAGGGGATGGGGAAGAGGGGGAGGGGAGGATGGAGGAGGGAGGGAGAGGAGGAGAGAGGAAGGCAGAGAGGGACAGAGAATTTGGAGCCTTTTAATTTATCCTTACCGAGCTCTAATCTCGTCCGCCGTTCTCTTTGGGTGAGGTCGATCTCCTTTTAAAAAATTATTATTCCTTTAACGGATTATTCAGCTAAAAGAAGCCACATCTGCTGACTGTACTGAAAACAAGAGGATTAGGAGCCGGTCCACAGAGCCCGGCCCGCAACCCCCCACCCCTTCTCTGCACCAGCACACGTCATTCTCACTGCCCCCGGGTACCTCCCTCTCCTTGCTCGGAGAGGGCTGTGCCAAGGAAAATGCGGATTTGGGGAAAGTGAGAAGTGGGAGCGCTCGGAAGAGCGGGAAAGCCAAAGCCGGAGGTGGGGATTCGCACCCCCACGCTCGCACGCGCTTCCGCTTACCCATTTCTATCCTGGGAGAAGGGGCGCTTTCGCCGCGCCCACACGCTCGGCACCTGCTGGGGTCCGTGCCCTTCGCCCTCCTAACGTAACTCCTGCGGCAACCAGCTCGGGGTAGACTCCCCTTAGGTACGCGGGGCGTCAAAGTCCACCTGGGCCCACCGCCCTCCTCCCCTGCTTCCGAGCCTGGTCCACTCCGTCTCTCCCACTTTTGCAAATGGACTGGGGGGGTCTCAGGGCACCCGCGTGCCTTCATCTTTTTGCCCCCAGGCCCGAGGCGCCGGACTACGGTTTCCGCAGACCTCGGCTCCCGCGAGGCCTGGGGGCGGGGTGTGGGGGGGGCCGCTGCGGCGGATGCGGTTGACATCACTGCGGAGAGCTCGCGCGGCTGTCCCGCTGCAGCGGCGACCAGAGTGCCTCTGAACCTGCTCACCCCCCACCCCGGCCCCAAGCTGTCTTCTGGGCAGGACAGTGGCGGGGGTGGGAAGAAGGGTAGGAGGAAGGGGGGTAAAGTAGTCCGGTCCTCCGCCCCCCTGCAGTCAAGGTGACTGTGAAGGAGAGTGGGCGCGCGTGCCCGCGCCTCTGGATGCGTGCGCGCGCCCTCCCGGCTCCCCGCGTCCCCGCCCTCCGCGCCCCTGCCGCCCGCCGGGGCCAGATGGACGCTGGAGATTAGAGGCACAAAAGTGCGACTCCACGTCCGGCCGCCACCCGTCCCGGGTACATTTAGACTCACTTCGGTGAGACGCCTTTTGTTGTGGTGGTTGTGGCGGTTGTGGCGGTTGTGGCGGTGTTGTGTGTTTTTCTGGGAGCACGGGGTTAGTTGAGGCTTAAGGATGCACTCAAAATAAATCTGCCCATGACAACAAAACCCTAGGTCACCCCCCTGGCCCCGACGCCCCAATAAAAACCAGCACCAGCAATGAGAAATCTTCGGTCTTTCCGAAGAGTCCGTTCAGCCGTCGCCGGACTCAACCCCAACCCTGGCGATTTCGGCACGCTCAGGGCCCATCTCTGCTTTTCCTACTCCAGATTTTCTTCTCTGATGACTGGAAAAAAATTTTAAGTGTTTCTTGGGCAGCGGTGGATTCAGAGCAACGAGAGACGGAGAGGAGGACAAGCCCCTGACAGCTAAAAGCAGCTCCTCAAATCAGACGGCCCGCGCGCGGCGGCTGGAGCGAACCTGCGGGGGTCGCCGCAGCTGCGCGCCCGGCAGCGGGATGCGTCCGAATGGATGGTGACCCTGGGCCCCTGTCGCCTCAAGGCCGTTTAGGTTCTTGTCACGATTGTTCGGTGTTTGCCCCAATAAAAGAATTACAGCAATCTCAAAATCTCTTAGCACTAGCTTTTTGCCTCCAACGAAGTACCACGAGAAGCTTAAAAAATAAGCGGTTTTCGTAAATTCTAAGAAGTGGAAAGCTTTGGGTTTAAATTGAGAGAGACAGGGAAAAGTAGGGAGAGGGAGAAAGAAACCGGAGAAGAAACGAATATGAAACATACTGGCAATGCATTTTTAATTTCTGGAGACCGTAGTTGGTTGGAAAGACCCATTATCTGGGACCTTCTCCCTCGCCCCTCCCCCCCCCCATCCGGGAAAACAACCTGCCGATAACATTCCCTTCAAACTAAAATACTTTTTCTGGTGGAAGAACTATATGGGCGACCGCTTGGCTGAGACTTCCACCATTTTGACAAGGGTTTTAGATTCAGGACTATTTGTGTTCCAGTCACTAAGAATTCCTTAAGCAGACTGTTTGTGAACCCTTTGGACAGGGAAGGATGGGGCTGCCACCTGAGAGTCCCAGGTTGTCTGGACTGAAGAGCGGCCGGACATACCGCTGCTGCCCTTGCCCGGGTTTTTCGTCAAGGCCTGGTTTTGTTTAGCTCGAGGACGGTTTCACTGCAGTCCTCCTGGCTGCTGCTGCAACGCAGGCTATTTGCTCTCTCATCTTGCGGCATGGGGGAGGGGAGCCGAGAGATGGTTTTGTAACAGACTCTGCAGGCCTGAGTGGGAACGCCTTAAATGATGAGCCCCGGGTTAAAAAAGAAAAGGAGGGGGGAAAAAGCAGCTGATGCTGAATTAATAGTTAGAGCAGACCCCTGGGGGCTCTCTCCAACGAGGGGGTCAGGAGTCCTTTCCCCTCCCCCAGTCACAGATTTCATATCTGTTTTTAACCAGTTTGATCAGATGCTGGGACATTTATGATGGCTTCTTAAAACCTAAACCCTTGGGCTTAAGAGCTGTTTATGCTCCTGATCAAACTCACCCCAAATACTAACACGTTAAGAAATTACATTGTAAAGCCTCCCCAAATCCGATTGACTGGGCTGTTTGGGGCCCATATGGCTGGACAGCTGTGCTGCTCCACGTGAAAAGACACCATTGCCCCTCGGATGGTATAAAGCCGGGGTTCCCCAGAGAGCTCAGACATGACCTAAGTATTAGCTTAGCCTGGGGTGAAGACTGAGTTAAATCTCTTCCTTCTTGGAGGTTAAAATAAAGACAACAACAGAAATCAAAAGAAGTGTACTTTTGAATTCATCGTAAAATGCGTGCCTCCCGGCTGGTCCCACCAAAGGAAGGAAAGAACATCCAAGAAATAAACTCTCTTTAGCTTACCACAAGCAGGACGCGAGGCAAACTGAAGACACAGGAAAAGAAATATATTATTTGCCAAGTGTACCATGTGTCGGTGACATTTGTGGTTCTCTGTTCAGAGAAGCAGGGTTCTGACCTCAGCCGATGCCTCAATGTTAACCATAAAAAACGGCCATCAGAGCGCAATTTCCATGGTGAGAAGATGAAGCTGTGCTTTAAAAAGGAAAGCCCATTATGAAATGCAGCCGGATTTAATTTTTAATATGATGGCGGATCCTCTAACGCATTCTTCGCTGGTGTTTGCATTCAGGAGGAGTGATTCATTCGGTGGCAGAAATCAAAATAACATAACACTCTGCAGTACTTTTAAACGTGCTCCTCATTTTTTAAAAAGGTGTCCTGAAATAGAATATTCTATCACCTTCAAGTGGTGGTGGCTGGAAAAGCTGAATACAAAACTCTGTTTTTACTGAAGTGTTCGGGCTAGATAAGAGCCAGGCTTGATCTTACTTATCTATGTGTGCCTAAGCAGACTGCAGGCTCTGTAACCCTAGTTCTCACCAGGCCTTAACAAATATTTGAAAACAAGAAAAAAGGGGGAAAACCCTCACAAATCAATATGGAACATGAAATGGGAGGGGAAGAGACTGGTTAGAAAGTTGGGTTCATAAGCTCTTAGTCCAAAGTCAATCAACACTGTGTTGGAGAAGGATCTGAATAGTGAAGCTACCTTCTTCCGAAGCTTTACAGAAAATTAGCAGATACTGAAGTGTGTCTCTAGTGTCATTTCCCATCTTTGGAAATAGCTACAAATAGTTCTGCAGTTACTGTGGCTTTCAAAGAAAAAAATTGAACAACTTTGGAGATATTATTTGAATGGCATAACCCCAGAGATATTTGGTTTCCTTCTTTCTTGTCGAGAAGAGGAAAACAAGGCCTAGAGAGAAAGAAAAATTGCTTCTAGAGACCACGTGGATGGTCGCAGCAAATTCAGTGGGGAAGTTAAGAACAAAAACAGTTCTCTTCATTTGTCTGTTTATTTTTTGCATATCATATTCGAACTTGGTTTTCTAATGATTTTGGTAAGTAAAAGAAATAGCCAAATGACCCTAGAAAGTACAATTAGTGTGTACCTTGGATTTAATTTTGAAATTCAAGTGTTGCTATTTAAGTTTCTCTAGCTTTAGTGATATTTCAGAACAAACGTACGAAAACACACCTTGCCAGCTCCTTGCGGCTCTGAAAGAATGGGCAAGAGCCCCACAAAAGTTTCAGAGCCTTTGGCTAAGTGAATTAAGCACCACGAGGGGCCTAGAAAATAATCCCATTAAAGCCATAGCCAGAGGTTTCGAAGTAGGTCCCTCAGACAGTGGTCTGGCAAATAGCATCCTTTCATGATCATTTTGGGGGAAGGATGAGGCATGTGACAAGAGTCTCTGACATATATCCAGTTTATCAGGTGTCAGTTTGTTTCAT